GGTGGTGTTGGACCTCATTTAATTAGCAAGAATCAGACAGTGGAGAACACACAGTCTGATCCCAGACAGGTGGTTAATGATGTAAGTAGTTCTAGTACTGCTGATGGAAACTCCAATGGCCCAAACAGTTCAAATGAGCCTTTGTCGGTGATGGATTTAAGCACGGCTTCCCTGCCTGCGTTAGTTAAGGACATTGCTGTGAATTCTGCAATATTTAAAGATATTGCTGTGAATCCAACCATGCTGTTAAACATACTTAAGCTGGGACAGCAGCAAAGGTTAGCTGCAGAAGCCCAGCAGAAGGCTGCTGATCCTGAAAAAAGCATGACAAATCCTATAAGCTCAAGTTCAATACTAAGATCAAATGCATCGGTGAGTGTTCCTTCAAAGACCACAGCCATGTTGCAGACACTAGCAGGAACACTTCCCGTTAGTTCACAAAAAGCTCCGACGGTTAGTGCTTGTGTACTTATATCCTTTTCCTAACTGTTGTTTTAGAATGGACTAAAGCATGTGTTTTTTGCAATTTCTTCCTATTCTGTATGATTGCCCCGATATATTTCAGTTTTCCTAATTATTGATTTAGTTTAATTTTTTATCTTCTCTTTTTTAATGTTCTGTTTTTAACGGATGGGTTGTTGGATAACCTTTTGTACTATTTAGATCCATAAGTCATGTTACAAGTTATAAAAACTCTTAGCGTTGCAAATTTTGCAGGATGAGTCAGGGAAAGTCCGCATGAAACCCCGTGACCCTCGCCGTGTTCTCCATGCTAATGCACTTCAAAAGAATGGGAGTCTGGGACAAGAGCAGTTCAGAAATATTGTAACCCCGCTGTCAAGCAGCCAGGGGAATAAGGATAATCTTAATGGCCAAGAGCACGATGGTCAGGCGGATATGAAGCTAGTCACTTCTCAATCAGTAGAGGCCCCTGACATTGCTCGCCAATTCACAAAGAATCTGAAAAATATTGCTGATATCATGTCTGTTTCTAATGGATCAACGAGTCCAGCAATCGCTTCTCAGAGTGTTTCTTCCCAACCAGTTCCAATCAAGAATGAGAGAATAGATCCAAAGACTGAGGAGCAGGGTACTGGAAGTATTTCTGCTTCTGAAGCAGCTGCAGCATGTCCCTCTCCTTCTGCCCCCATGTGGGGAGATGTTGAACATCTGTTTGAAGGATATGATGACCAGCAAAAAGCCGCTATCCAGAGAGAGAGAGCAAGGAGGATAGAAGAACAGAAGAAAATGTTTGCAGCTCGCAAGCTTTGCCTCGTCTTGGATCTAGATCACACACTTCTTAATTCAGCTAAGGTAGGATTTGGTCCTTGTGACCAGTGATTATAAGGGACCGTTTCCTCTGTAAATTTGTTCTAACTTATATTATCCTTTTCAGTTTATTGAAGTAGACCCAGTGCATGATGAGATTTTGAGAAAGAAAGAGGAACAGGATCGTGAAAAACCACAGCGACATCTCTTTCGATTCCATCACATGGGAATGTGGACCAAATTACGTCCTGGGGTTTGGAATTTTTTGGAGAGGGTAATTTTGTATATAAAATTTATTTTGGCATAAATTCTCATTTTGTGGTTTATTTGAAAGTGGAGAATTCATTGCATTGCCTCTTTGGACATCAGGCTAGTCAACTTTTTGAGTTGCATCTTTACACAATGGGGAACAAGCTATATGCAACGGAAATGGCAAAGGTGCTAGATCCAACAGGGGTACTTTTTGCTGGACGAGTTATTTCTAGAGGCGACGATGGAGATCCTGATGATGGTGATGCTCCGAAGAGTAAGGATCTGGAAGGAGTTTTGGGTATGGAATCAGCTGTTGTGATTATAGATGATTCTGTGAGGGTCTGGCCGCATAACAAAATGAACTTGATAGTTGTGGAACGGTAACCATGCTTCAATTTAAGATATAATAATCCTTACTGTCTCTGTACTTTGATGGGCTTGCTTGCCTTGTTACCTAATGCTTATGTATGAATGCTTTTGCAGGTATACGTACTTTCCTTGTAGCAGACGACAATTTGGACTTTTAGGTCCCTCTCTGCTCGAGATTGACCATGATGAGAGACAAGAAGATGGGACTTTGGCATCCTCATTGTCGGTGAGGATGCCGCTCAACTTTCTAAGACTGCAGATAATTTTGCATGTTTCTGTTTGATTATCTGTTCATTTGCTTCTCTGGTTCATTGAGAGTAATCAATAATCTGTTATTTTGTCTGTACAGGTTATTGAGAAGATGCATCAGATCTTTTTCTCCCATCCCTCCCTAGATGAAGCAGATGTTAGAAATATTCTAGCCTCTGAGCAGCGGAAGATTTTGAACGGTTGTCGTATAGTATTTAGCAGGGTATTTCCAGTTGGTGAGGTCAATCCTCACCTACATCCGCTGTGGCAGACAGCTGAACAGTTTGGTGCTGTGTGCACCAACTATATAGATGACCAGGTCACCCATGTAGTTGCCAATTCCCTCGGGACTGACAAGGTATTGTTTCTCCCATAATCTATGCCATGAGAACGAATTACTAAGACTTGATATCATTTAGAAATATGATTTTCGGGCCTTCCCAGCTACTCTTGATTACCTGAAAAAGAAAAAAAGAAAGAAAGAAACAAAGAGAGAGAACAACCCAAAACTCTGACGCCTCTGCCAGAAAAGCCTTGAAAAAACCGAAAAAAAAATTAACTTTTAGAAATCTTACTTCAGTGTTTTTCTCAGCTTTCCTTTCTGCTACGTTCTTTTGCGTTGAGGCATGACATTAATTGTTTGAGCAGGTGAATTGGGCTATTTCTTCGGGGAAATTTGTTGTCCATCCTGGCTGGTGAGAAATTATATCTTGTTTGTTCATATGTTTTCTTCGTCTTTGTTAATTTCTTTGGATTTTGAGTTCGACATGGTTTTCCCTCTCCTAATTAACCAGGGTGGAAGCATCAGCTTTGCTTTACAGGAGGGCAAATGAGCAGGATTTTGCCATTAAACCATAAACAATCAGCACCCTAACCCTTCTGATAACTAAAACTGATTAACATAGGATCAGGTGTCGCATTGGAGTCGGGATGGAAACCTTAGATCATGCTGGGAGCAGCTAAGCCCTAGGCCTGACACTGGTCGGCGTCGTTTTGATTCGTGTTTTCCACCCCCCAAGGTTTTGCTTTCATGGTCGGTTTCATTGTGAGAAGAGGAATGAGGTGGTAAACTCTGGTCGAGCTTTAGTGGCTCTGTTTGGGCTCGATGGTTCTGGTTGGGTGTTGAGGATTGCCTGTCTCACATTTTGTTCCTGATCAAGTAAGAGATTGGTTGCCAGACATGGTCGCTTCGGGGACAAGGATTGCAAATGCCAAGTTTTCTAGATCCAAAACGTAAAATAAGAGATTGAAACCTAGTGATGGAGCAAATTGGCTGTGCTAGGAGGTAAATTTCGGTAAAGGATGATGAGCGTATGAAGGGAAAGGTGGCGGTGGGGGGTTGTCGGGGATACAAAACTGTATATATGGGGTACGAAAGACCAAGTCTGGCAAGGGAGAAAGTGGTCATCCAAAGCTTGAGGCAAGCATTTGGATATTGGTACGGTGGGAAAAATGGCTGGGCTGGTTGTGATGGTGCCTGATTATAGTTAATCCTTGTCCCTAATCAGCTAACTTATGATTTAGCTATCGCATTCACCTCCTAATTAAAATTGGTTTTCCAAGAAAGAAAACATCGAGGATAAGCGAGTTAACGGATTTTCATGCACACGAAGTATGTTGCAGAAGATTTTTCTGCCTGAATTCACCTTTTATATTTTTCTAACTTTTAACATATAGTTCGATACTAAATCCCGTTCTTTGTATCTTTCTTCTCACGTGACATACACACTAACGGTACTGAACCCTTAACATATGGAATTTGGTAAACCTAAGGAGGACAACTACTATCTGTATTCTGCAGGGAGGAATGTCCGCTAATTCAGAAATCTTTTTTGGTTGAGGGGTTGCTGGTGCATTAAAGTTTAGGAGGCTATTTCGAGTAGTTGTCAAGAATTCAATGAGATTACATTTTTTAGCACTTCTGCATGGTTATGTAGGGAATGTGGACGTGAGCTTTATTATTTAGCAAACGCGATGGTTGCCTATACTTTAAAGCAACATTATTTGATGCAAAAGCAATGGTCCAAATCCATATTTTTATGACAAGTGGTTATATTTAAAAAAAAAAGATGTTGAACTGCAAGTGGTAAATTGAACTGGTGATCATGGTCTTCTTATTTAACTTACTATGTTTTGGGTTTGAATCTTCCTCCTCTTAATTTTTAACACAATACTTCTAATAAACGAAAAAAATTGTGAGGATTGGGGAGAGGGTCGAATATGCGTGTAAAAGACGGATGCATTGTCCCTATCAATTGGTTTAACCCACCTTTTTATGAAGGATGTTTTTTGAGGTAGAGTCTCTTTGTTGGCTTGATCTTTTTTATTTATTTATTTTAGTACATAGATATTTTTAGATTAGAGGAAGGGGGAATTCGGTTAAGCCACACATTGGGCAACCTAATTTAGTATCGAATTCTCCATCTACGAAATTTGAACATTAAGATTTCTCATTTTTAAGCGAAAAGAAATACAACTAGGTCGTAGTACTGAGTGAAAATTAAATATAATAAATTTGCAGTGACTATTTAAGGGATTCATATTTAAATCGATAGATTGACTTCCCAAATTAACAAGATTTCTCTCGACTCTTTCAATTTCGGTCAATTTCACATTAATCATCCCAAATTAATTACATTATCGAATTTGATATTGAAAAAATAAATAATAATATAATATATTATAGACATTAAATAAGAACCTTTGATTCAATAATTATTTTGAAACTACGGTTTTGATTCTATCACATTCAACCTAATACCGTAATTTCCTTTTTTGAACAAAAAATATTTATTTACTCTAACGGAATGGGATGAGTTTTGCTTCACGATGAACTATTAATAATGTGGTTCAAATTCGCCTCTGATGATAATCGATTAAAAAACCTCTAACTTACAGTGAGGAGGAATAACGTAGTAAAAATATAAGATTTTTTATTTTTTTTTAAAATGCATGGCGAATATTTTAAAGGTCACAAAATCATATAATTTCAAACTTAAACTTTATTAAGAGTTAAGATGCGTCACATTCTCGAAAATATTTTATTTTAAAGTCCTTAAAATCAGGAGGGATACTGACAAAGCGTGTAAAAGAGGGAGGAGGGTTTCTGGCTTCATAGCTTCAATCAACAGTGCCAGCATATAGCGGTGGAGAAGACGATGGGTTCGATTTCAGAAGAGATGGTGAAGAAGCAGGAAGACCAGGCTGCCTCCTTTTCATGGTGGTGGGATAGCCATAATCGTCCCAATCAATCTCAGTGGCTTGAAGCTACTCTCTCAGGTTTAGTAATACAACTACTTCATGTCATCTTCCTGATCTAGGGTTTTGAGTATGACCAACCCAGTTAATAGTAAATCAGCTTTTGCGTGGTATATCACCATACTATTGCATAATTACTCCTTTCGTTGCTGGATTAGGGTTTAGGGTTAAGGGTTTAGAGAGTACGGTTGTTGGCATTCTAAAATTGTCGTCGTGCACTCCCTTTAATCTAGAAATTAATAAGAAAAAATGCATGATAACATTTTGAATCTAGGTTTTGTATCTTTTGGTACTCTTTCTCAGCACAAAATTTTTCACAATTTAAATCCCTAAATATATATATATGGATTCAGTATCCGTACTAATATTATTTTTTGGGATCACAAGAAAATATGAAAAGAAAAGTAGTACATGAGTTGAATTATTCACTTCCAACAAAGGACTGGTTTTTTAACCAAAGATGTGCTATTATTGTTGCAGAGTTGAACCAGAAGACCAAACTAATGCTAAATATAATAGAAGAAGATGGAGATTCATTTGCAAAGAGGGCTGAAATGTTATTCAAAAGAAAACCTAAAGCTCATAAAGATGTTAGAGGACTTTTACAAGTCGTACCGTTCGCTCGCCGAGAAGTATGATCAGCTTAGATCTGAACTGATTCAAGTCTCTCATCTGAGATCATTTTCTTCGTTAAACTCCTTGAAAGTCCAAACCATCCAGAAATGTGAAGAAGAAATTTCAACTTACTTGAAAGCCAAGTCTTTGAAGGCACAGGTTGAGACAGACCGAGAATCCTTCGAAGAACACATATGGAAAAGGAGAATATTGAGCAGGGTGTAGAATCTGATGGTAATGTGGGTGGAAAAGATAAAATGTTGGACGAAAAGAGCTCGGAATTCATTGACGAAAATATGCAGCAGCGGGCTGAGTTGATAAGGAGAAACAAGGAGAAGAGTGAAACAATTGAGCGGCTTTTGTCCCAGGTGCATAGGCTAACGGATGAGAACAGAATTTTAAGGAGTCATCTGGGCAGCCATAAGGATGCTAATGATCATACAATTACAAGGCAAAACAAGCCTCAGTTTTCAAGGTCTAAATCCAAGGGGCCATCTTTCCTTGGTAGGCTCACTGGATGCACTGGAACTTGATCTTAATTAGTTACTTTTCAACTTAATTAAGTAGCGTTTTAAGTTTTCAAATGTATCTATTTATATGTTTTCATAATACATATGAATATTCCGAGTAAATTATGACAATTGTTTTGATTTTGGCACCTTATAAAGAATTTGTTAATATTTTGATTTAGAGGGCTGGAATGTTTACTTGTTTCATTTTATGAGAAAAATGTGGTAACAGTAACACCTTCATGTGGTGTACTTTTTCACGCCAGTTATAACATGTGGTATTGTATACTGCTAAATACTAATAAATATGAGCGTCGGTTTGATAAGACTTTTTCCACCGTAGCTAGAAACCCTAAATTTAAATATGATAGCTTGGAGTCGAAGTTTACTTGGAGTAGTCTAGTGGAACTTACCTTGTCAATGTTGGAAAAGGTCTCAAGTTAGAATTTTTCCTCCCCGTCCTGAAAAGGCTAAGATATTTCAGATTTGCTAAGGTATGAAGTTTAGTTACCCGAAAAAGAGTTATAGACCCAAATAGGCTAAGTCATCCCGTACCTGCTGAGATCCAAAGGATCCTAGTTCTATAAGGGTTATTGGATCTCTCTTTATATAAAGGCCTCATGGCCGAGGGGGTCAATTAATTCTAAGCACTCGAGCTCTCTTATACACTTTGTCTCAAAATACTTGATTGATTTAGGGTTTAGGGCTTTGGAGGACAATCTCGAGAGGTCATCCCGCTGCTGAGACCATGGACCGTAAGGCTCTCAAGACATGGTTTGAGACAGACTAAGAATTCCACGAAGTATCTTATGCTAATGTTGGTGAGACAAAATTTGTGGAACGAAAAGATGTTGGAGCTCATCGACGAAACTATGCAGACCCATGCTGAGTTGATCAAGAGAAACATGGATAAGAGTAAAATAATTGAGCGGCTTTCGTCCAAGGTACATAGGCTAAGGAATGATAACAGAATTTTGAAGAGTCATCTGGCAAGCCGTAACGCCGATCATGCAAGATCTGATATGTTGTCAAGGTCAAAATCTATGGGGGGGCATCGATCCTTGGAATGTTCATTGGATGGACTACTGGTTACTGATCTTGATTAACCGGTTTTTCAACTTAACTAAGTAGCGTTTAAGAAAATTTCAAATGTATTAATGTATCTGTTAACTTATCATTATACACATGAAGTTGTTAACGAATTGGTTTTAGAGATCAAAATAATTTACTTATTTTTGTTCGGGGTGAATTTTAACCCTAGAAAAGTTGTTCATGGTTAGAAAATTTCACCATCCAAACAAAAAAAAAATTGCAAATTTTCCACCAAACTCATGTTTTAGTGTACCCACCTCTATTAATTTTGTCAAATTTTGGTCAAAATGTATTTTTTTTTTAAAATCACGTGAGCCCATTTTTCAAGTTTATGGCTTGGGGTAAAAATTCAGTGGACTAAAGTTTTTTAGTGTGCCAAGAACACAGTTCGATATATAAGTATTCAACTACTTGTGTTATAACACTTGGTATATTAGATCATATTTTTGACACATTAAAAAATCTCTTCTCAAATGAGCAGCATATGATTTGTTTTGATAGAATTTTTAACAAAGAGGGGTAAAGTGGAATTAAGATAGTAAATTGGCAAGACATTTTGTTTAGGGTAGTTCTATTTACGTATTTATTTTTACCTTCTATACACTATTGTTAATTTTTATTTATTGATATCTTTAAATTTTTCGATTAGACATTTAAAAAGTAAAAATAATATGTAAAAAGTAAAAATAGATGTGTATATATCATCATCTTTTGTTTAAGTGACATTTTGTTTATCTTTTACCAAAATTATCACTCTACTTTTACAGAGTACACGTGACGTAATGCAACGTCCGACTAACGTATGGTATGGTAGATTTTACAGACAGCGGTCTCCAATCCAAAGACCCAAATATCTCCCACCCCACTCTCTTCAGTCTTCAGCTGAAAAAAGCTCCGACCTTGGAGCCTTCGTGTCAACTCCACCCCTACCTCCCGCACGACGATCTAGGCCTCCCATTGCCCCTAACTAACTGACTGACTAACTACCGCTCCATGGACCGGAGGCGAACCGACAGCCCGGTCTACGCCCGCCAGTGGACGAGCGAGTCCGCCACCACTGTCGGCGGAGCTACATCTCCGGCAATGTCGCCGGTTCGTGGCCACCACGCGCGGTCCTCCTCCGCCAGCGGAGTTTCCAACATCAAACGCACTCAGAACTTTGCCGCCAAGGCCGCGGCCCAGCGCCTCGCTCAGGTCATGGCCTCTCAGACCGCCGACGACGACGACGACGAAGATGATGATCTAGGATTCCGGTACAGTGCTCCCCCACCGCTCTCTCTTTCCAGGAATGCTAACAGTCCCGGTGCTAAGCCTGCGGCTCCGTCTTTGAGGGCCACTACTAGATCGCCTTCGCCCGCGGTAAATCTCTGAGCTTTCCCAATTGAAAAATTTTATTGAGATTTTGGAATTTGAAATTTGCCGGTTGTGAGTGCTGAGTGGTTGAATGAATTCGTCGAAATGCAATCAGATCGTGCTTGAATTTGAGAGGAAGGGAACTGAACTTGGATTTAGTTGCTCGTTGTATTTGAATTCTGGTTGCACATTGCTCTGTGTACTCTAATTTACTATGAATTTTGTGAAATTCTGCCGTCTTCTGTTTGAAAAAGGCTGCCTTTTGTGGGGATTTAGACCAGTGAGTGGAAAGTTTGATTGACTGTGAGTGAGTTGACCAGAAACTAAGACGTCTAGATTTGTTCATACACAGCTTAGATTAGTAGAAATTTACTTTTTTGTATTTAGCAAGGAATGTGTGTGTGTGTGTCTATGAATGGTATTGTGAATGGATGGGGAGGTTCAGGCTTCAATGCAGATGGCTAATTGAATTTTTGGATGTTTTGATTAGTTAGCTCGGACCTCTTTGGACGAAACTCCACAGGTTCGCTCAACATCAACGGGAAGGCCAGCAATGTCTCTTCGTGCAGCACCTCCATTGGTACCACCCAATAGAACAACACCGAGGACAGCAACTTCCATGCCACCACTGGACCCTCCCATCACTAATAGCAAAAAAGAGAATCGGTAAAAAAATCTTCTCTCTGCTGTCATTTATATAGTTGAACTCTGTGTTTCAGAGGTTTAGGAATACAGTAAAGGGATAATTTTTTTGAATTCTATCAATGCCTTGCTCATATCATAGTTTACCTTGGTTTTGACTATCATTCTCTTTTGGGATTTCAAATGTATACATACTATGTAAGGAATCCGATTAATATCTTGCTAACAATGTCATTTTTATGGTTGATATAACCCTAAACAAGGATGGAAAACTGAACTTCCTATGGGCTTTTGCGATTGTGGCCTCATTACACGTGAACAAGCTTTCTAAAAAATTAATACTTTATGCATATATGCCAATCTTTGCAACTTATTTCGTACTTTAAATAGATTTATGTGTTCACTTCTATGACTGTGGGACAGTCAATTTGATTGAATAATACAACAAGTGAAGCTAATGGATGTGCACGAATTGCAGATTCTTATCAGAAATAGGAAATTACAAATCAAAAGATCCAGGAGATCAACGTGATGCTTCTGCACTCCGTGATGAAGTATGCCAATGAATTGCATCTATTTCAGTTTATTTGCCCCTAACATCTGAATATGTGCCATTTTTATACTACTTTAGATAAATATGGTATTATTTTCTATTTCCTATTGGTATTTATTTACTTTTTAAAATGCAGCTTGAAATGCTACAAGAAGAGAATGAGAATATTCTTGATAAGGTACCATAAGTCATCCTTTCCTTTTCTTAATTAAGTAATTAGTTTAACCGACCTTATCTGTGACTGATTCCACTGTGAAATTTATCTTACAGCTTAGACATGAAGAAGAGAAATGCGATGAGACAGAGGCTAGAATTAGAGAACTTGAAAAACAGGTAAGTTCTATAATACAATAATCAGCTGCATAATGTCTGAGAGTGTGCTTTTATTAAATACAAAGTTGCCTATATGTTTGTGAGTCTTCAGGTTGCTGCATTTGGAGAAGGCATGTCTTTGGATGCTAAATTCTTGAGCAGGTGTACTAAAGTTCACATAACCTTCTCGCCTGCCTTTTTCATTCTCATTTTCCTTTAATGACATTTTTTCTCATTGTTGTGCAGAAAGGAAGCTGCCTTGCGGCAAAAAGAGGTAATTAGGAAACTTGAATGTTTTATGTTTGCTCCACGTAATTACAAGTCAAACCTACTTAAAATTTGTTCATAGGTGACTCTCTTGGTTGAAATTTTTTGTTTTTATCTGACTTTAATCTGGAGTTTGCTAAACCAGAATTCACATGAATTGTTTTAGAGAAAACAAAACAAATAAAGCTAAAGAGACTTTTTATTGTTATAGGTTGCACTAAAAGATGCAAAACAATCAAAAGATGGGGCCGAAAAGGAGGTTGCATCCCTTCGGTCGGAAGTTGAGGTAAGCATGCTACCATTAGGTCATTGTCAGTCTGCCAAAAAGAGTTTCTAAATTCAAGTCTGAAGCATAACAAAATTTTAAATATATAGATTCAATATACAAATATATAACTTTAGGAAACAGTACTCGGGAAAGTGCTTTGATTAGTATTTTGAGAGTATGATTTATTGCACATTGGATCTTTGAGGAATTTTCTGTTGCTACTACTGCAACATCTTTTAATTTTTGTCTTTAACTTAATTGCTTGGATCAGAAAGCAAAAGAAGCGAGTGCAGTTGTTATGAGACAACTCCATGGAGCTGAATCTGAAGTGAAATCTCTACGGTCAATGACACAAAGAATGATATTGACTCAGGAAGAAATGGTATGTATACACATACTATAAGCACTTGATAGAGCATATTAGTAGCCATCTGGGGACTCTGATTATTTAGCATATCCATATTTCAGGAAGAAGTAGTCCTCAAGAGGTGTTGGCTTGCACGCAATTGGGGTTTAGCTGCAAAGCTTGGTATTCTACATGATATGCTATGTCGTAATTTCTAGCATTTGGCAAGGAACTCATTATACATTTATATGTTTTTATTTTCTTTTTACGTTAATTCTGACAATTAATTTCCCATTGATATCTGCTTTTGT